TATCTTGCTGTGAAACCCCTAATCCGTCGGGGTCCTTTGCAGGTACGCAACGCATGTGCAATCACGTATGTCTATGGGCAACGGTCATCTCGCGATTTCAGCGATTACAGGCCGCTCGCTCGTTTGCCACCTTATGATACATAAAAAAAAAATTTTTAAAGTAATAAATATCACAAAAAAATTTATAAGTTCAATCTCGTTTAACTCAAGTCGGTATGATTGATATAGTAAAAATGGAAAATGAAGGTTCTTATTATTTACACTTTTATAATTTAGTTTCCTTAACTTCGTGTCGCCGTTCTAAGTGACACATATTTAGATTTTTCATCATAATATCTTACTAATATTAAAAATGCGGACACAGACGGAATCGCGGTATTAGCTAGTTTTTGACATAAAAACAGCATAACTTCTATCGACAGATTGCTTTATAATAATTAATAATTGTTTATGTGGAATGTATGTTAAGAGCTCTCATAGCAGTCTCAAGTTTTCCTTATGTTAGGTATTTTAATTGCTAATGCGAGGTGAGATATTCAGATATTATTAATAAATTGAATTAATATAACTGCATTGAATAACAAACTTTCTTAAGATTATCCATTTAAAAGTTACATGTAAGTCTAATGAATAATCTGTGTGGCCAATTGAACAAATATAAAAAACAAAATTGATCTTGAATGGCGTAATATAGTAAAGACCGGATATAAGAACCTAAACTTTTTTTTGCTCAGACAGATAAACCACTGGTACTATCTCAGCTGTCAAGTTTGACATATCGAGGCGTGTCAATAAATATGTCTTGTTAAATAGTATTAAAAAATAAAATACGTATTGTATCATGAATACATAAACCAATGGATATTATTATCGATGTATTTATAACAGGTTATATTGTATTCAAATTATTAATTATTTATTTTTCGAGAGCGTCGGTGGCACAGGGGTCAAGCACTTGACTTGCAATCTGCAGGTCCCGGGTTCGAATCCCGCCATGTACCAATGTGTTTTTCTGATTTCCGATTTACATATGTACATTTATCCGGTGTTCTTACGGTGAAGGAAAACATCGTGATGCAACCTGCACATATCTGAGAAGAAATTCAAAGATATGTGTGAAGTCAACCAACCCGCACTTGGCCAGCGTTGACTATGGCCTAATCACCCATAACTTTGGGTAGGGTCCGAGCCCCTCGGCGGGGACGTATAGTGAGCAGATGATGAATTATTATTTTTAAGTCGTCATTTAGTCATTAGGTCATCTATCGGTCACTTTCTTAATTATTTTAATTAAAATTAGAAATGTTGATACTTACTTTAAACTATTCTGTAGCGATATTAATGATACGTCTAAACTGTTCGTAGGAAAGCGCGCGTAATGTCTTCTTTATAACTAAACATGTACAATATTTGAAACAAAACTCGTACAACGAAATGAAACTCCTTTATTCATTTAAATTAAATCCATGTCAGTGTTGTGTTAGTCCATTTATCAAATTAAAAATCTTGAAGCAACTAAACCTCGGGTATGAAGTAAACAATAATATAAAACGGAAATACCAGTATTATAAAACGGAATCAATGACCTTTGTATCGTATTTAAAGAATTTCTTTTTATTTGTTTTAATGTTCAATCGAAAACAGAGTCAGGAAATGAAACGAAATTCGCTGACGAGTTAAGATAAAATTTTGCAATTTTTCATTTAAAAATGGCATCCGTTAGCTTACAACGAGGATAAAATTTTAATTCAAAGAAAATAACATTTTGGCGATTGTGTTTATTTTTTATATTTTGCTGATTATGATCTGACCATGAATAAAATAAAATTATAAATTAAAAATAACAATATTTCAAAAAGTTAAATCACGTAGGTATATGTTAAGCTTCTTTAATTTTGTAAGTATATTTCAAGTGAACATGAAAGGGAGTGTAGGATAACCAACATAACCTATCCATCTTCATGTTTTTATCCCTCTAACTTAGGGTAGGCGCATCAGTTATTGTCCTCCGACATGTCCGACGTCACTACCTTCTTAAAAGTGTCTTCTTCCACAAAATCCATTCAACTCTACTTCAGTACCTCTCCGCATTTATATTTAAAGTTCTCCTAAAGAAATATACAATGTAACCCTCTTCGGTAAAAACCTGGAAGGTAAGTGTAAATATTTATTTATTTATTTTTTACTTTCTTTTTTTAAAAAAGCTGTAAATATTTTTGTTGAATAAAAGAAAATAAAGATAATATGTTAAATTTGATTTGAAAATTGATGCTAAGTCCCGACAAGCGGTTTGTTGTTGCTAACTGGCTTTAACTTTAAATTACACGAAAGGTTTTTATAATGTACCGTCTAAACCATTTCAATAAAAATAACTACATAGTTGAACATAGTTTTGTAAATGAATACTTGAAGCTCCAATAGCCCTATGGTGTAGGAAGTGGAATACCGATTTATAGGACGTGGATTCGAAATGCGCCATTCAACATGTCGTGGACCGTATCCATTTATGCTGGAGATACCTTCTAAACAACATCGATCCAACCATCTAAACATTCGCATTTATAATACTACTTAGATTTCCATAAATAAAATAAGCGGCAATAATCTATCAATGACTATTCAATAAATACGATGCAACTACCCTGTGTATCACAAGTACGAAAGAACAGAAATAACCAACAAACAATCCTGAATAATCCGTTTGAAGTTTTACTCATCGTTATTGCTGTATTTCAATATAAAATAACAATATTTATTAATATTTATAAATATTTATTTTCATCTCTCTTACTCAAATCCCACTGAGTTTGCGTTTGAATATTACGATATTTTAAAACTCTTATGTCAAAATAAACTAGTTGTAAATAAACTTTATACAAATTTTACTTATAGGTAATAAGCGGTCGCTCGCAACTTCGTCAGCGCAGAATTGTAAAAAAGTCTTAAAAGTAACTTTCGCGCCAAAATCAGTCCAGTCGTTCGTAGGAGGCTTTTGGCATTAGGTATTTATTTTACAAGTAAAATAATCTTCGATTGGTTCGTTGGTGCTTAGCCTTGATTGGTAAGATCAATGTCCTTTGTATGATAGATCTTTTATGAAGGTTATATTTGACTCATTAAGAGTATATTTCATGACAATGTCAGGGTCTACCCCAACATCTGTTACAAGAATTGTTCGGCTTACCTGGTGAAATACCATGACCACATAAAAGACAGGCGTGAGCGCATTTCCGCGTTTCACCTGATGAGTGTAGTGCTGGCGTCCTGTTTCCCTTCTCACCCTTTTGATTGAAGGTATGCGTAGGAGTAGATTTGACGGAGGAGCGAAGCATAGAAACGAGAAATATTCTCTTTCTGTACGACCAACCCTTGGTCAATGAAAGGTAGGCAACGCATCAGCAATTTCGAATGTCTTTGGGCAGCAGTCGTTTGGCTATTACGGCAATCCAAGAATCTAATAATATAAAAAATCGTAGCCGTTTTTCTTACCTTTAACACCTAACAATATTGCTCGCATTTAAATAAGTTGTAAATATATTTGTCAAGTTTAATTAATGTATTGTAACTGCTATGAAAAAAAGGGTCTTGACAGACCAACTGCTTCAAACTAACAGTGCGTGCTAATCTCATTTCATTATTCTATATTATATTTTCATTTTAATTTTCCCTTTTTACTTTATTATATAATATTCCAAAGTTTATCAAAATCCAACCGCTCTTTCCATCGGACGGACAACAAAGTGATCCTATAAGGGTTTCGTTTTTTTCCTTTCGAGGTACGGAACCGTTAAAAGGCCTATTGTTTTATCAGTGGGGTTTGTATAACAGATATCTATATCTATTGATTTGTCACATTTAATTAGACAACGTTATAGTAATATTGGTAGCTTCCCCGAGGATATATTATGTAAGAATAATTAAACACATATACAACCTAACTTTGGCGCGAGATATCGTTCGCGCGAAATTAAAAAAGAAGTCGAGTAGATATACAATATAAAAGTAGCTTATGTTATAATACTTACTAACAATGTAGCATTTTAATGGAAATAGTATTTTTGAAATCTTTTTAGTAGTTTTTAAATATATTCGTTACTTACGAAAACTCAAATGTTTGTTTTAATTTTTTGTTTTATTACTAAGGGTGGACTGTTAGTGTACCTTATCTGTAGGCGATTGTACCCTGTGCGAAGCTTAATAGTATGCATTAATGAATCTTGAGATTCGAATCTTTCACACACACTATAATTGAAAACTTTTTCACTATGTAAAACTTATATACTTTGTATAAAATTATACATTTAAAATGAGTATTAAATACATAATTTAAATGTAAATTTTCTTAAAGCCGTTTTTTTCTCACAAAGGTCACAAGAGACACAAAAATGTTGTGAGTAAAAATATATATTTAGGTTTTCACGAAAATTAACTAATGTTTTGTTAGAAATAAAACTTGATTTCCCAGCATTTAAGTTCTTTTTTTAAGCTATCGGCGTTTAAACGAAGGTCTTACTCGGGCGAGCCAGAAGAGCTTTACATTACCAAAATGATTACAGTTTTGTTGTACACTTTACTGAGAAACTCTCTTTAAGATTTGGCTTTTGACTGAATCATTTCAATTAATTTCTAAATGTCTTATTCACAGTCCTATTTAATACTAAAATTATCTTTCTTTTATGTTCTATAATATTTTTACACCAAAAATCTAGTATGTAATTTAAAATATTTGTAATTGCCATTAACTTAAAAAAAATCCATGTTTCTTTAAATAGCATTAAATTTCCGTGTTTGTCAATTCATGAAATACTTCGAATATTCTCTAAATGAAAATATGCAACAAGCAAACTATATTAAAAATCAAATTAATCGAAGTTAAGGTAAAATAATAATATTATCGTATAAAAAAGAGTTAAATAAAAATACGTAGATGAATTAAATTAGTTGTGTTTTTTGGGGTAAGAATAGATTAAAATATCGTTATTCATTTTTATCAAACTTACCTTATTGTACGATAGTAACCATGTTGTGTTTTAAAAAACAAAAATAAATATGTTAAACACTGGCACTAAAAGATTTACGAATTTTATTCCGATACTCGCGACATACGTGCGATTCTGTCGAACACTCGTAGGCAACTATGTTGTTGCCGCCTTCAGTATTCGCATTTTCCATTGCAAATCTACGGGGGTTTCAAACGAGAAAAGTAATTACATGTCAATCATATCAAATATTAAAACTGCTTAACGATTTAATTTAAATGTCTTCTTATTCATTTATTACTAATACAGTAGAGTCCTTATTCGTGATTCCCTTACCCGCGGTTTCAAAATTCGCGGATAAAAAAAATTGTTACCAATTCTCTTATTCACGGCAATATATTTTACTATTCGCGGTTTCCGTAAATTAATGTCTTTATATAGCTTGAGCATACTAAGATTTTAGTATTTAATACTTGCACGTGTTGCCTTATATCCAATTTCTGAATATCGCTGCATTTTATTTGCTGTTTATTTAGCACAAAGCGTACCAAACTTTAACTAGTAACTATAAATTTATTTTTCATCGTTTAAAAAATATCTGCGTATGAAAACCTTCGTATATAAGCTAAAATATTCTGTGTATACGAATTTTGTAAAAAAAAAATAATCAATAATTATGCAAAATTTTTACACCGACCGTTGTTTGGTATTAAATTGTATAAATACAACGAAATTACAACAACAAAGTAAGTGTCATAATATATATTTAAAGTAGCTAATATTCCCGCGTAGATTCTCAAAGGGACTTATAATTAAATTAGGAGGATTGTTTCCCTTTCTTCCCTTTGATACAAATTAAACTTTGAATAACTCCACAAAACAAACCGTAACATAGCTATCGCAAATAGTTTGCATATTAATTTTTACGTTTGTGTTTCACACATCGCTGAAAACAACAAAGAGTGGAGAAACACTCTAGTATAAAAATGGTCAAGAATAAAATAAACCCTCATGAATGACAGAGCGATGTCCTCACACCGAGATAGAGATTCTTATTGTACAATATTACGTATTGTATGTACTGATTGTCGCCTGTCTGTTTGTCTGTCTTAGCGTCGGTGGTTCAGTAGTTTGTCTTGTAATCCGCAGGTACGGTGTTCAAATCCCGCTATGTACCAATGTGTTTTTCTATATTCGATTTACATATATAAATTTATCTGACGTTCTTACGATGAAAGACAACATCGTGATGCAACCTGCATATATCTGCGAAGAAATTCAAAGATATGTGCAAAGTCAACCAACCCGCACTGGGCCAGCGTGGTTGACTATGGCCTAGTCACCCCTAACTTAGGGTAGGCTCCGAGCCCCTCAGTGGGGATTCCTAGTGAGCTGATGATGATGTACTGACTATACTAACTAAAAAACAACTTAACCAATTTTAAAAATTCCAGGTTACGACGTATCCCTGAGAAACAAAGTCTACATTTAATATAATGTTTTAAAGATAATAATCAACCGATGCGAAACATGAAATCACGTCATTTTAATACAAACTGATATGCTAATTTTCTACACATCTAAGAATGGAGTAAATTGTTCAAGTTAATTAGTAAGAATAAAATAATATTATAATGTTAAATACTTTACGAAAATGCGAATAATAAACGAAAAGAATATTTTTTTTTCTATTTCGTTATTCATTTTGTAGTTGTATATACTACGATGATTAAAATAAATCCGATATCGATTCTATTGCGGTTTGTGTTTCCGAATTACGTTTCAATTAAATTATGCTTTTAATTAATTATAGAGGGAGTAATTTGCAGAGTATAAAATAGGTATATTTGCGTACAACAGAGTAGTAACAGGCTTTGTTACTTTTCAAGTACACTTGTAGGTAATAAATCAAAACCAAATTCAATTCACAAATTCTAAATTCAAAACGTAAGTAACATCATTCGATTAACTTCTAAGCGAATTGTTGCTTATGTTGATATTAGTAAATTGTTAGATCAATGACCCCTTATAATGACTAAAGCTTGACTTTTGGAATGAGGTATCTGACTTATAATTTGAGAGCGCAAACAATATAATACTACTATTATTATTTCTAACTTATAACGAGTCTATTGATGCCATTTATATTCCGTTGTTGTATATGTTTTATAATCTTAATTTAAACATTTTTGACCATTGTGTAGTAAAAAATTAATAGATAGCGTAGAATATTCATAAATTGCATGAAAAAGAAGCGAAAAACCTAGATTTAAATTGTGTCTCGTAATTAGACCTCGCAATACGAGCTGGCTATATAAAGTAATTACTTTGTGTTTAAACATATCCCCTCAAGCAATCTGAGAGAAGTATTTAATTACGACTCTTTTTTATACCAATAACATATTTTTTCATAAAACGGTGTACATTTTGTCTTTTATTTTAGCAATGTACAGTATTCGTGGGCATTGGAAAATATGCACCGGTCCGTTCACAAGGGTTGACTCGATACTATATTTATATTACGAAAATTTATTTAGTTATAGGCAATAGTCAATAATAAGAGTACTGAAAGTAATGGACGAAATAAAACAATGTGTTTAAAATAAACAGTATTTTTATTTAAATTAACATATCTTATAAATTATAACAGAAAAACAATATTCATGGAATTAATTATTTCTATACATTAACCTATATTGTATAAAAACTGTTTTAAAATAGTGAAAAAGTTTAAGAGTTTCATTCAAACCATATAAATACGCGAAACGAAAACTTTCTACCCCTTTTGAAGGAAATTGCAGGAACTGATAAATTTGACACAGTTAAAGTTTATGAGAAGAAATATATAAAGCTATTTTTAATCAAAAACCAGATCTTTATAAATGGTAAAGTTAATTCTGTAAAACTTTAAAATGATATAATTAGAACAAAACTCTTATTTGATGATAGAGCAGATAATATTTGTTTTATAATCTTGACTCAGCTTAATGGCTTCTGCGTGGAAAGTGGATATCATATTGACTCTAACAAGCGATGACTTTGAACAATTTAAGTTAATTTAACTTAAATTTAGTCACGTATCCTTGGCAAGAACAATTGAAGACTGTGTTCACATGGTAGAATAATAATAATATACTTGGGGGTCGTCCATTGCTCGAAAAACGACTATAATTCAGATTCAAACATTTATTAACTAAAACATAAAAAATAATATTATGCATTTTTTCTCCAAATTAAATTTAACATTGTCAAATTTCACATTCATCACGATTGTGTCGTGATGAATGTGATCTTAATAATATTATAAGACGTTTAAATGGGTGGATGTTATTATGTATATCCAGAAATCGCTGTAATTTAGAATAGACGTAGAACATAGTCTGAGAGAACACATAGGCTACTAATTAACTTCTTTAATTCCACGCGGACGAAGTCGCGGGCTAAAAAAATAACGTAAATAATAATGACGAAAGGAAGCGATTTAATAATACTTATGACTACATAAACATTTTATTTTTCAACAATGCGTAAATGTACTTTGGTTTTGATTGTAATCAAATGTTTAATATATATTTATTACTAAGAACACAAATCGCAAGTACATCTTTATATATATAATTCTTCTGTGAGTGTGTATGTCACTGAACTTCTCTCAAACGACTGGACCGATTTTGATGAAATTTTTTGTGTGTGTTCAAGGGGATCTGGGAATGGTTTAGATTCTCAATTTTCATCAAATATTAACTTCATATTAATTTATTCAAATTTCACGCATGGTATACGTAGTTTTAATGTATGATGTATGTACGATATTATACAAAGTTATACATCATATTCTATTAATATATGTGCAAACTAAAATGACGCAGAAAATGTTCCTCAATCTTTAACAACAGTTATTTTAAACTTAAAAATACTATATAGTAAATTGCAGTTTTAAAGCTAACAAATCAACGATCAAGTAACGTTATTTTACAAGATTTGTCACTAGATGGCGTTGTATAGTACCAAATTATTGTGTTATATTATTTCAAGTTCTTCGTTACGATACAGTCTAAAATGATAAATTATCAAGAATTATATATTTTAAAGCTTTCATTACAACACTATTAGGTACAAATTTAGAAAAGCTAGTGTAAAACTCATTAAAAGGGATATTTAATTAGTATTGTAATTATCGATTTCAGATTCTAATTTTTTTAAGTTATTTTTTATTTACATATTATAATTTAATTGCTATTGTAAGGGTCAATATTTTGTTTTTAATATATTCGATATTTGGTTGCCATCTTTTTCCACATATTCGAAATAAAGCATTATTGTATCTACACTAACATTTTGAATGTATTACATTTCCAATTGCCATTCAGAAAATGCAGTGATTTTCAGACGGGTTTAGGAATTATATACATTTCCTAGGAATTGTATTTCTGTAAGCATCTACATAAATATAGGTATTAAATTTTAGTCATATTTTAATGTTATACAGAAGTGTCCTTGATAATTTATGCAGAATTTTTAAACAAATTCCTATTAAATAAATATAAATCTTTTCAGATTTAAGTATTTAGCAAAAACTTAAGGACTTATTTTCGATAACTAGCTTTTGTTACCAACAATACACTGTTTATTTGAAATAAACTTAAGTTACTGTTATATTTCGAAAAATGAATTTAGTTGTTTCACGGGGTCACTGTGATTTTAAGGAATCTACATATTGTTCTTCTGCTATAGAACCATCCCCACTGCGAAGAGCTCTGTTCGTGATTATCGCTGGCGTGGCAGCTTTTACTGAAAATTAAAAATAAATAAATTAAATACATATGTATATGTATGTATAATGAAAGTATAATCTGAATGAAATGAAGAATGAATGAAATGAAGAATGAAATCCATTCAAGAGAATTATATTTTGCGCATATGTAAGTTTTAATGTATGTGGGCTTGTATTTACTTAAGTTACGTTGTGTCCGCCTGGAGCTTAAACGAATGAGCTGATTTTGACGAGTGGGATGTCATTCGTATACCGTCCTCGATTGTCTTAGGCTCAGTGAGAAAGTTTTTTTAATGTTTTTAGGGTTCCGTACATCATAGGAAATAAACAGAACCCTTATAGGATCACTTCATTGTCCGTCCGTCTGTCTGTCAAGACCCTTTTTTTTAATTAACATATTGTGTTATATTTTTACTAGCATTTGGCTACAATAACTAAATTGTCTAAGCAAATGAAATAATATCTCATTTAATTTACGAACATCGAGATCATCATTATCATCAACCTGCCCTTATCCCTATCGAGGGTCGGCACAGTATGTACTACTCCTCCATACATCTCTATCAGCCGTCATATCCGAGTCTACCCCCTTCTTACGCATATCCTATTTCACACAGTCATTCCATACTTTTTTGGTACTTTTTTTTAATTTACGAACATCGACATCGTATAGAATAATATTGTCATCTTTCTAAATTTCCTTGAAAAAACAGAGATATGTTAGACAGCGGAAACCAAAAAGATAATGGCAAAAGAGAATTAAATCAGCTCGTGAATGTGTATTTTCCTACAAGCACAAGAAAAAATAAAACATCATACATTTTAATGTCTACAAGATTCTATCCTACATACGAGTGTTTCTTATCTTTGTTTAAGAAGACTGAACATTTTTATCTCTTCGTCATTGTGCTTTTGTTTAGTTATATCTTAAAATTATTTAATCCTATGTAGTACACACATTTACATTATGGAATGTTTAATTTTATTTCGTCGAGACACGAGAATTTTTATAACGTTAAATCTGGTCTCCTTAATAATTATAATATTTATTTTCAGACATTTAAGCGAGACAATATACTCTTATATGTCCTTACTATCCCTCAATTTACGATATTACATTTTTTTCATAGTCAGTTATGGTGTTTTTACATGAGTATAACTAATATGAGCTGTCTATTTGAATATATATGAAAGTAAATATATAAACACCCAGCTCATTAATAAGTTAATAATAGTTAATAGGTTGCAGCGGTTTGTTATATAATATTTTACTTTAAAAATGAAATGATTTTATTTTCATTTTAATGTTTTTATAGGGTAATTTTATCTGACCCGGTGGAAATTTATACTAAAGTAGACATTTTGTATAATGGGTTTTTTGCTATTCATTCAGTCGTACTTAAAAACTAAAAAAAAAACAAGTGACTTACAGTCATAAGCCCATCCGATTTTTGCGAATATATCGATGAAGTTTGTTGATACGTTGAAGCGACCCAGTTCAGAGGTCCGGTAGTCCCATGGGAACACGTGGTGGTAGTTATGCCAGCCTTCTCCCAGCGCGGCCAAACTCACTAATGGGTTTTCTGACGGCTTTATAAATCTAAACATAGAGTTTCAATTGTTTATTTCTGGTAAAAATACAAACATTTTGTTAAAATAAAGTATATTTTTTAATATTTTAATGGTTATTTTACTAGCCAATAATACTAAAACAATTATACTGAATTAAAAAAAAGATATTGGAAATCTTTTAAATTAAAAGGGTTCATTTTAGTGTTTAGTCAATTTAGTAGTAGTTAAGACCTAGCGATCAATTATCATTAACATTTCAAATTGCCACCACTTTTTAAAATATTTTTTATGTTTTAAGAAATCTTTATTTCCTTTATAAGAATTCACAATTAGTTTACTTAAGGAAAATAGTGATATATGTAACATTTACGTAATATTGCAAGCGTAAAGTTTTTTTTTTACCTGACTAAACCTTCAATTTTTATTTCTTTAAGTCTTAGTTATAAGAAAATGACTTACTTATCATAAGGTTTATTTCCCCAGAGATGTGCGAAGCTGTTTACGCTGAACGCTATGTTCAAAGTAATTGTAAATCTGGTGACGAAACTCAATACAAAGCTGTTCATAAGAGTTTCATCCCAGTAATACACAGGAATCCATACTGGTAACGCTATGTTTAGTAGAGCGAAGAGTGGGATAAAGTACCTGAAATCATAAAAAATATATTTTGAGTTCTTACTTTAATAATAATAATGGATAAGTTTAACGTAACGTTATACATATAATTTTGTATGGTCATCAGGGACTTGACCTTAATATAAAGGCAATAACTAGATGAAGTTAGATAAAGCCGATTAATAATAATGTTTTTAACAGAATCAGAATCGATGGAAATAAATTGACATGTCTCATAGAAGAATGACAAACTTTTTTTGGATCCTCACTACTGGATCGGCGATGAGGTCCAGCGAGGTAAGCCGGAGAGCCGCCCTTCTATTCTCGACAGCGGGGTGCGGGGTCAGCACCAACCAGCCAACATGCGCGAACCAAAAGCCTCGCCTGACGTCGTGCGGGTCTGCTACCGACTCTGAATACTTGTGATGAACGCGGTGGTCAAGCGCCCACGTGTAAATGTCGCGCTGGAATGAAAGTTTACTGGATTACTGTAGTGAGCTGCCGATAATTGCTGCAATGGCAAGACCCAAAGTTGGCCTTGGAATCTGACACAAGAGAGCCTAGTGCCGTCTGCCTTGCACTACCAATTGCTTGGTGATATTCCGTTGACTAATTTGAAAAACACTAGTACCAAAATGTTAGCTTTATTTAGTAGAATGTTTTCGATGACAAAATGTTTTTGTATAAGATTTACTATTGTGGAAACTCACGGGAAAACGAAGACGAAATAACTTTGATGAATAAAATACATTGTTACTTTATAAGAAGAAGTAGAATTATTAGAAAACGCAACTTTTTGCAAGTTTAAAAAATGTAGTAATATATTATTTCAAACAATAAAATGCGTGGTAGTAATATATATTAAATATCAGAATATTGTGGTGAATATTCACTTTACTTATAATATAATTACGAAAAACTTATAATAATATATGTATAAAAAGTTATGTTATTTACTTGCAAATGTACGTCTCGTCAATGTCTTTTCATAACAAGGGTTAATAGAAACAATTGACATTGTCTTACGCATGAGACGAGTTGCTTTATTGAAAGCAATAAACGATATATACCGAAATAGTTGCACCTTCCCACTCGTGGAAAGTTTGAAGCTACAACCTTGTCCAACTAATTTAATATTTGTTCTAAAGTAAGATAGGGTGTTATGTAACGTATTATGCATCTTGAATTTTAAACAAGTATTATGTAATGATTACCAAAAAGATGTTAGGAAACACGATTTATTCAAACGGAAAATTCCAAAACGTAGCGCAACTACTATTTAACGAAACTTAGACCGACCCATAAGCGTACCAGTGTGTGATGAAATAAATAGTACTATTATAATTAGGTTTAAGGCATACCTGTCCGGTAATAGTAAAGAGTAAGGCGAGAATGATTCGCAGCGGAGTCGTCGCTTTGTACGCTCGGTGTGACCACAGTCTGTGCACTCCCGCTGTTATGCCCAAGCCAGACATGAATATCGTCGCAAATACTGAAACAAACCAAAGATTTAATTAGTCTTACGTCATTTTATTTTTGTTTTGTTGCGCAACGTGGCCAATGGACAGGCTGAAAACACCACGTTTTTGTCTTCCACATTGATCTAGCATTTGTTATTCCCGTCTTAATTATGTTCCCTTTTATACAACCCATTCAATTACTCGTTCATAGTCATAATAATAAAACAAGGTGATATTTCATATGTGCCCATATTATTATATTTATATATATATTATATATATATACATTTATTTATCACATTTCTAATATAATACATTTCATATAAAAAAAAAATATATATACAAAACATATATCATATTATATATTATTATTATTGGAAAACAATACAATTTTTGATATAATCACGATAAAAAACCGCTTATGAAATATGTACTTTTGAAATTAAAAAGAAATACGAACAAAAATATTCCACTTTACCAATGAATGAGGATAAAAATGTAATTTAATTATGATATCCAGTTTGAATAATATCTGATCTGATCGTAATCAATATTAAAATGCATGTGAATAAATTGCCCCAAGAGCATCCTTAAAATATTATGTTAATTTCGCATTTGCATTATGTTCAGAATTAAATATAACAAAAAAAAACTTAAGTATTCTGATAATTTTTTCTCTTCGTTTCTTGTTCAGATGCTCAGTCGATTGAAATTATAAGCCCTTTAAATACATATTTTGGTGAAGTCTCATCATCATCTGACTGGACTTATCATACGCACATGGGGACGGCGCACAAGGTTGTATAAACCTTCATGTCTAACCTTAACCTTTTTGATGAATTCTGTCTTTAGTAAAGCTTCCTGTATGTATATATTTGTTTCCCTTAACCTAACCGATGAACGGAATGAAAACACAGATAAAACATATACAGTGTAAACACTGCGTGTTCTGTTCCATTTAAAATGTTAAATAACAATATCTTAAAATTAAATAAGATTAAAAAAACTAAAAGATACAATTTTTTTGAGTAATCCAAATATCGTAATATCATAATATCACGACTGCCCTGAGACAAGCCGAAGACAGGACGGCGTGGAGGCAGCTGGTCGACACGGCCGTTGAAGCGTACCAGGACAAGCACGACCTTCAGTAATGAAGAATACGAAGAAGAAGAAGTTGATAAATAAGACACAATATAAAAATATGTATTTCTTAGACTTACCAAATATTGTCGTGTAGAATCTAATGTTGTTCGTCACCATAAGAAATAAACCATATATGGAAACTAAATGTAAAGACAGCTGCACTAATAAATCAGGCCATCTTATTCGCGGCCTAAATTCCATAGATTCATAAACGCTTATGTCGAAGTCTTTATCACTGTTCATTTTTTCACTAGCATCTTTGAATATCACATTATTGTTTTCAATCACTTTCACACTACTTGAGTCTTTAAAGCCATTGTCTAAAAGTCTCATTTTCAATTGAGCTTCACCCGTCTCACACACATCGACAACGTTTTGCTGCGCCGGCGCCATTCTATTTAATGCAGCAATTCAAAACATTAATGAAACATATATATTTGTTGCTCAAGATATAAGGAATACGCTTGTACGGGCTTGTCAATTGCCGCCTTTTTTATTATTATATATTTATTGAGTACCTTACCACTAAGATATAATTAGCATGTGTTATTGCTATTAAAATTTTTACCATAAGTATATGTTGGTTATGCTTTAAAAGGTTTCTACGATTATTCTTGTCAATAGAGTACTAGTATCTTATTCTTTCAAAATATTAATTAGTGAGATCTAAAATTGCGAACACTATTCTATTGGCTTAACTATTAGCATGTCTGTCATATATTATAGAACAATATCTTTGTATTGTGTGCTAACTTTAATGGTGATAATTTTCACTTCAATTTAAATGTGGTTTTCGTTCTGTTATAGTCTGTCCTGAATTCATTAGATCAGTTTGTTAGAAAAGACTCAGTGGTGTGTTATGGTCAGTATGTAGTGTCACTGAATTCTTTATAACTTCGACATGGCAATGACCTCGCATGCTCGCTCGCTAGAGTTAATGTCACCTCCGAATCGATGCACCTATTTCTTGTCAGAATTATTAATGAATCGAAATAATAACACGCCACACGCAAAGGCGACCTTTACAACTGAATTGAAACGGGAAATTGTAGGTTTTTTTATTATCGTGTATATTTCTTATCGAGCTGAATCTTTACATCGTGGTGAATGATGGACTTCCTTGCAAAATTTTAAGTATCTTGATTCCTAAGAAAAGGACTCATTAACTTTCGACATACATATCGATTTAAGACGTTATTTTGTTACGAATAATATTCTTTACTCGAAAGAATTTTACTTTAAAAGGTAGCCTTTCTAATGAATTATAATTAAATACTTTTATAATTAACTTAGTCTATAAGTTTACTACATTTTTACATTAGTAATGTTTGTATTACATCAAAATTTATATTTCATAGTAACCGCTTTTTATGACAAATCGGAGGAACGTGACTTAAATACCGTTACATTACAAGTTGTTTTAAGTTGCAGTGTTTCGTCTGCGTTTGGAGCAACAGACAGGCCTTGTCTATCCACGCTTGGTCGCACACCTTTGTCGCATCACATTCCAAATATATTTCTTTATTCGTGGCCTCTTTACGGTTGTTGGATAAGAAAATAACTATAACACATATTTATAGTCGAACTTTACTGAAGCTATTTGTTTTGGATTCGAATCCAGGACTTAACTGTTATGATGTCATCAAAAAATTACACAAGTTTTATCTCTCAAAGTAGACAGATTCAGGTCTCTAGTCTCAAGATTACAAGGTCGCTTTAAATTTCTACTAAAATGTAAGTAGTTAAACCATAAATAGGTCAACCGTATGTGTGAAATCATCATTTGAATCATAGATATATTTAAAGTTTGCACAAGGTGACTTGCATGTTTTACTATACCTTCCCAAAACGAGTATGTGAATTATAATTAAATTAGAAGCTGTAATTATTATTTATTCTTTAGTCAATCTGTAGTAATACTAAAGTAATCTAATGGCCTTAGGACTTTGGCGACGGATGTGGAATAGCTTTGAAATGTTTTTGTCATCTCTGTCTTCTTAAAGAGAATGACTTAAACGACCATATGAATTGTGCAGGAATTTTAGTATAGGAAATCCACGGCAAAAAGGTATGGAATTTGTAACGATAAAGTCGTTTGCATTGACTAAACTAAATTCGACAAACAACCGATAATGGCCAGGTGTTCAGATTATTACTATCTATCTCCGACAAATACTATCTTATGTAAATATTACAAACGTGCCAGTTAACTGTCGCCTATATAGTCATAATTATAATCGTCATATAAAATATAGTCGATGAGTGTGCGTGACTTATATTAGTACGTATATAATAAATAAGGAAAAAAGCTATCTCATGTATATACCACGAAAAACCACTAAACTATCATTTATTTGTAATTCATCATCATCATCAGCTCACTATACGTACCCACCGAGGGGCTTGGAGCCTACCCTAAGTTAGGGGTGACTAGGCCATAGTCAACCACGCTGACCAAGTGCGGGTTGGTTGACTTCACACATATCTTTGAATTTCTTCTCAGATATTTGCAGGTTGCATCACGATGTTTTCCTTCACCGTAAGAACCTCGGATAAATGTGCATATGTAAATCGGAAATCGAAAAACACATTGATACATGGCGGGATTCAAACCCAGGACCTGCATATTGCAAGTCAAGTGCTTTACCCCAGTGCCACCGATGCCCAGTGCACCGATTTGTAATTCATTGTTTAAAAATTACATATGTAAAAATTAATATTTCAATAACGTGTATAATTGGATGCAAGATCACTTTATTTTTTTTTCAACAACTTCATAATCCGATTTTATTAAGAAGCCACTACTACACTACTAGAAAATACTATGTGGTATTTCAATAAAGGTTGCGACTTTTTACGAAACCCTTCAGTTCGTCGAAGCTAACTTAGCGAACTTCATATTAATGTTATTTTGTAAACTACGGAAATGTAGATTTTCTTATCGCTATATAACACCTGGCTTTCGACATTATTTATCTCTATCAAATTTCAGTATATATAGTTCTCCGAACTTGATAAAAAGGTAGTGGTGAGTTATACATGATTCAAAACTCTAGAAATACTTGTAAACATTATGAATAAAAAACAAAACACGATCTTGAAGGTATGATGATGATTAAATAATATAAGGTTAAAGATAGAATTTTACTGTCACGTGCGCGACGTGTTTATTTTGTTATAATACTATGTTAAGTTGGAAGACCGACATAGTACACGCTTATTAAAAATTATATTCCAATATCATGTAATATTTGATTGTGTATAAAAATGCGTTTTTATTTATAATTATAGTAGAAATAGAGTATGTTGTAACACTATTTTTGTTCCGGCGACACTTGCTTAGGAATTATTTCAATATTACGATTATCTTACTTATAATATTACAAATGCGATAGTTTAGATGGATAGATGTATGTTCAAAGATATCATCAGCAAGGCTAAACGGATCTGGAAGAATACATAGGCTTTTTACTTTGTTTTCTTTAATATCGCGCCGACGTAGTCGCAAGCAAAAGCTAGTACTTCACGAGGGCTCAATAACAGATAAACTTACAAAATTGTTCCCAGCAAAATGCAAATCATTATAAAAGATAGGATAATTGTTTGAAATGCTACTGTTTGTTATATTATTGGTAGTCTCCTTTAACCGTTAAACAGCAGAATATGTTAATTCCTTTCATATATCAGATACTTAAAACATACGAGTACTTGTTTATGTTGAAACAAAATTCAAATGTCATTTTATTCGAAACACGACGACGGGTAATTATCCACGGCGTTCTTACTATTTAAGTTACTTCGCTTCGCACCGCCATGTTCTTTTTTCAATTATCGTATGTATACGAAGTAAGTAATTTTCAACGTTTAAATAATATGAATGCCACCGTTAAATATAAATCTTCACCTATAGTAATAAAATATCCCGGAGATTATGTGTATAATTGTTCACTACTTTTCAAAACATGGAGGACGAAAACCTTTGAATAACGCGGATGTCTATAACGAGAGTGGCCAATTAACTAAATAATAACAGTATTCAACCCTTTTGTATCTTTGACTTATTTTACATTTGTTGTATAAACCAACATGAAAGGTAAAATACACGACCTTAGAGATGGCAGGCATGATTGTTCCCACTTTTTTCCGAAAAGAACAAGAGAGGAAGGGCAAGTGGAGTTGTCAAGGAACGGGATGGATAGAAAAATCACGCTTTTATGCGGTTTTCAACTAGGCTTTAAAGTAAGTGGGTCTGATATAATTTATCACCTCAGTAGGAGGCCCCGGAAGGTTTATTTAGTTTATAATAAAGTATCACGAAAGTTTAAATAAGGAAAGAAATATATTTGGGTAGTGGTCATCTTTGCTATATTTTACAAATTAATTATTTGTATTCGAACATACGACCAGATCGCCAGTGGAATACTGATAAATGTGGTTGGAATTTTCCTAAAGTACACATATACTTTTTTTTACATGCATTTAAAGCAGGAAAATATTCGTTTCATTATATAAATTACAATAAAGGTGCGCACATTTTGATCTTTACATTTGGTGATGTCATTGTTATGACTGTGTCATTGTGTTCAAGGACTAAAGTAAAAGATGTCTCTGTTTATATCAGATTTTATGATTTTCAAATAGTAATACAATGTATTTGCATCAATTCATTTTGATTGATTTAAAACAAAGGTGATACGGTATTGAATTTTATAATGATTTTATTGCCTATTGTTATATGTAGGTTTGACATATTTTAGTTTTATAATAGTATGTTTTTTAATAAAGTACGTTATCAAATGATCGTTGAAAGTAAATAGAGATAAGGAGGAATATTAATCATGACAAGATTTATAAATATCCTGGTTTATTCAAATTTATAACCTTCTTAATGCACATATCTTGACATTTACAATGTAAGGAATCGAATATACGAATATTTTGAGGCAAATTTACATTTAAATATATTTATCGTTGCAATGGAATAATTTATTTTAGAGGTCATTTAGATACAATATTCAAAACTATTTTTAACTTTGCTTTACGTTTTGAATCGTAGTGAAAATTGAAGGTATTATTTTTACAACTGAAATCTTTGGATTAACGCAATGTTAATTAAATATTTGAATTAACGCAATGAAAGATATATAACACTCGTGCGTACGTTACCATGCCATGAAAATATGAGTTAGGTTAAGTAAATACTTATTATGGGATATAGTCACCATTAATCCTGATTCAATAAATTCCTTGTGATATAACGATAGGAAAACTTACTTAACTATAAATATCAAAATTATTGAAATACATTAAACGTGGTCATATAAACTAAATGATTAGTATTGCACAGATTGACAAAATAGTAACACTTTTCTTACGCTTTTACAAACAAAATTCAGGGACATCGAGGCGCGAAAACCTCCTACGCAACAAGTTTACGCAACTGTTTACTGAGGGAACCACTCATGCAGTCACGGAACACTTCGGGATCGATTATTGACACATCGGAACGAATAGTGGGCGCGAGACGCGCGTTCAATACCAGCGACGCGCGCGACGGTCTATGGTGGACTGGTGGCCTAACTGGCCAAGTGTGCCAACGCAAATGATGGGATGAGGTCGGGGCCAACACAACATACAGTAAGCGCTCTATGGTGTCATATCGACGGATAAATCGTCCAATCTATCCAATGATTTCATTACACATTCAGACATTTTTTTTGTAAATCTACTTATAATAACAAACCATTAGTCACTCCCAATCCAACCATTACTGAATGCGGTTATATGGAAAAGTTTTCGTAAAATGTCAGCAGAATTGTATATCACGTGTGCTGCTCGGTAAAGGTTAAAAAAGAGACCTTGAAAATAACTTTTGTGATATTACACCTGTTATAATACAAATATAGCTGCACCATGTCATTTGTAAAACTATAAATCAGATTCATTCTTACTGTTTTAACTTTCTTTATTGCGTTAGTGATCGCTTCAACGTTTGTTGTCAGCTGACTGAGAATCGAACTCTGCACGGCACTCTCGGTGGCGAAGAAAGGCATAGTGGGAAAATTACCTAGTCAATGGTTCACCTTTCCTTTTTTACAGGTTCATTTTGCATTTGTTTTCAGCTTGTTCAATTATGGAATTGTAATATAATATTATAGTGATGCAGCACTTGGGTAACACTATACTTTAGATAATGCAAAACTTTGGAACCATTTTTGAGAATTTTTACGCCAGCTACTGTTCTACCAAAAAATAACATAAGCTACATTTTTACGTATCTTTTTATAATAATAAATACCGAGCAGGTTGCTAAAAAAATAAATCAAAAACGAATTCACTATAAGATATGTCGCGTGTTATATTAATGTAATAAATTCTTCTATTCATGTTAACAAAACAACCAATCAAAACATGATAACATTAAGGATTCAATGAATGTTTCTCGAAAACTTTCCTGTGAGATTATGTCGTCAGATGTATCCAGAGTGGTCAATTATTGGGCGACTATGCGTCACCGCTCAGGAGACGGCGCCGTGGTGGGGCGCGACGACAGCCTACGCAGCGCGAGTTAGGGTTGCCACCACACTACTTTTATTTCCGAAGATTCCAGAATAAGATAAATTTACTCCTATATTATACAATTTTTCTTAATTATTAGCGCTAAAATTTAAACAATTTTTCTATGTAAGTCTTCCTCCAATACTAAACGAAAATTTCCAAAGCTTATCTCCTTGAAGTATTTAATGTCATATTATGAATGCCTATAATATGATAATTTATGTGCTCTCAAAACGATTGTTTTTCACTTTCCAACTTAATATCGGAATGGGACAACCCTTACCAAAATGCGCGTCATACATATAAGACAGTTGGTAATTTTCTTTGCACGTGCTCCACAAAACACTCAGGCAGAGTGGTGTCACCACTGCATACATTGAAATTATCGTGAGACCGACCTATTGTTTTGATAATATCGCGCTTATAGTCAATCCTTACTGATCCTTGCTAATATTATAAATAAGAAAATAACTTAGTTTGTCTGTCTATCTGTCTTGCTTTCACGCTATACTCTGAACCGATTTATATGGAATTTATACACAGATAATTTATATTACGAGAAAGGTACATACTTTTCATATGTACTTTTTATCCCAAAAATGGGTTGTAAGTGGTTGAATGTGGGAGTGGAAATTTGTATGGAAGTATTTCACGCGGATGAAGTCGCAGGCACAGGTTATCAATGTATAATACTTCAGTGGTTAAAAATATTTATCGCTTTAAAAATGGAATAACATCAAAAAATACTACTACGAACCCTAGAAAAACATGAGTAGTAGAAAAGATAAACAGTCTTTAATTTGGTTTATCGTCGCTGCTTCGAAATATGAGATAGACCAAACAGCATTAACTCAATATTATTTGAAGAAAAAACAAATTTATATAAGACATAGTTAAGTCGTAAAATGGGTTTTACTTAAAAAGATAGTATAAGCGCTGATTTACAATCTCTTTCACTTAAGTGGTAAAACAGTAAACAACAACAAGCCTTATATTATTTTGCAACTAGTATCGCTCCAAGGTTTAAATTGCGTCGTTTAACTTAAATAAAAATTATGTTTATCCTTTTTTGCTCCAAGAATTATGTAATCCCATCTTGAGTTGTAACGTATAGAAGTCAATGATTTCAAATCTTTGAATTTTAAAATTTAAACTAAATATTTTATGTATAACTTATTTTTTTAGATTATACTTAAAAGCAACGAAATAATGATTTCGCAATGTGGTAATTTGGAATGTTATTTATTAATTTATGTGTTTCGTACCGATGTGTGCACTCTATGTGATTTCTTGGAAGAATCTAATGACACCTCACTCGTCAAAATAGGTTCTGTCATTTTGGGTCTAGGCCGTCAAAATGTAGTGTACATGCATAAAAACCTACATTCATATAAATAAACTATTATACACGCGGAAAATATAACTCTCGAATAACAATAACATTCTTTCAGTTGAAATTCACGGCAAGCAAAGTATGTAATAAAACACGATGACTTAGTCCTGCCAGTTTTGCGTCCGCAAATAAACATAACAGAGAAATCACAGCAAAAATTTTGCAAGTATCACTAAATAAAAAACATATTTATTCTCTTGATATTAGGGTTTTTCGGGTTATAGTTTCCTTCTTGTTCGTTCCATTATATTTAACATATTACATTACAACTTTCGATTCACTTTAATTTAGAATATATGCTGTAAATCGCTCTTTGATATTCTACTTAAGTTCAGACTGTTAATAAATTGCAGAATATTCTAGACAAATAAGATATTTCTTAACAATGCTTAAATCTTGTTTAGAATAAGCTTAGCTTAGCCAGTATGTAAGAACAAAAATAAGCCTTAGCTTTACAGACCAATTTAAATATACATAAACATTATTATTAAAAAAAACCAAGAGTGACATTGATTTCCATTTAAATTCCACTATCGTATTACTTGTATTAACACATATTGTTATCTCTATTTTTGTAATCAGAATAAAAGAGATGACAATATGTGCCAATGCAAGTGTCATAGCAGTCGCAATCCTCAGTAATATTCAATACTATAACTACATAATGATTTTGACTAATTATTGTGTTTTGTTATATTATTAATGATATAAATACTATTTCAAACCAGACCGGTAAAGTGACTTAGTCAGGATTATCTTTGCTGTTATCACTGTACTTACAGTATTTTATCATTTTCACGACGTCATTTTTCATTTGAAGTAACCTATTTTATTTTATACAATGAATGTATCTTACTAAAGTACAATTTTTTTTATATCGGATATTATTTTTTCTCAAAGTTTGGAGAAAAAAAACTGGATTGGTTTAGCCATATGTTTCTTGGAGTTTATCTAAGATAAGATAACCGTAAAAGACAATCAGTTACCCTATAGTGGCACATTCGTCGAAAGAACTATTTGTTCCGATTATATAAACTCGAACTCGACTCGAACTTTGTCAACACAAATAAGGCGGCTTCCGGCGTAATTATAACTACGGAAGATACACATGGCTTTGGCACTTTGGTTTTAATGGTTATTAACAACAAAATTATGTTCTAAATAGTATTGTTCCCCGTTTTTTTTTTGTAAAGAGAATTACCCACGACAATATAATTTCATACAGGGTGTATCGGCAGTGAAACATTCAGTGTTTTGGTGGTGTTGTTTTATCTTTATCTTATATACCTTGCTTACGACAATTACGCAAAAGTTTCAACGAATCATCCTTTTTAGAGATTCTCTTAGTTGAATATTATGTCTACTTATCTCACTTACAAGTTCGAAATTTTAAGCGTGTGGGAGTAACTTAGGTTATTATGTGTTTGTTCGAGAGATTCGGCGTTAGGTATAAGTTCGTAAATTAGAAAGGAATACTTTATGTATAGTTTTTCTAGAAATATATGTATCTAACAGGTAAAGAATCATCATCAGCTCACTATTCGTCCCCCATCGAGGGGCTCGGAGCCTACCCTAAGTTAAGGGTGATAAGGCCATAGTCAACCACGCTGGCCAAGTGCGGGTTGGTTGACTTCATACATATCTTTGAATTTCTTCTCAGATATGTGCAGGTTGCATCACGATGTTTTCGTTCACCGTAAGAACGTCGGATAAATGTACATATGTAAATCGGAAATCGAAAAACACATTGGTACATGGCGGGATTCAAACCCAGGACCTGTATATTCCTTCAATTCAAGATTCCTCGGTAATGAAACGGTAATGAAATATATCGTAGAAATAATAAGAAATATTTCAGGGCTTAAAAATTTATAAACTTTTTAGCTTAATATATGATTGAAGACAAAATAATCTAATTACATTTTTTTGTTAAATACGCTAATAAGTCAATTAAAAATAAAGTAAATAGAGGATAATTTTCGTGAGATAGTTTTTTATGTTGACATACTAGAACAATCAAATTTTTGATACAATACAAAGCTTTAATTCACATTGTTGTTCCGAATAATAAACTTGATTTATATGTGGAACTTTTTTTATGTAAATTGTTTATCTTGTTAAAGAATATTTTTTTTTCTTCAAAAAGCAGCAGGATTCGGCAACGAGTAATATGTAGAAATAACGGCATTAACTTCAAAGTAAATAGGCGGTAAAAACATAAGGTAAAAGTAAGCCTATAATAAACCCATTTGCCTCAGCTACCTTTCCATCAAAGTCCCGTCAAAATCGGTCTAGACCTTCCAGAGATTACCCGAAGTAAACACGACCTTGGGGCAATATATATAGGGAAAGAATATAATATGGTTATTCGTCATCGGCAATGCAAATATATCGCATGTACGAAATATTAATTATTTTTCCCGATATTATATACAAACAATTAAATTTTCTTTATATGTATATTGATGTATAGAAGGTAATGTGTTTCACGGTTATATACATGGGTATGGGTATGTATGTATATTAATTTTATTCTTGTAGCCTAAACATCCGAATTGAGTTATCGATTCCTACTCTTCCTCATGACGTCGTGACTAGTGATATTTTTAATTAAGTAACCATAATATGTTACTATACATACATATATAAGGAGCGTCGGTAGCTCAGTGGTCAAGCAGTTGACTTGCAATCTGCAGGTCCTGGGTTCGAACCCGCCATGTACCAATGTGTTTCTCGATTTCCGATTTACATATGTACATTTATCCGACGTTCTTACGGTGAAGGAAAACATCGTGATGCAACCTGCACATATCTGAGAAGAAATTCAAAGATATGTGTAAAGTCAAACAACCCGTACTTGGCCAGCGCGGTTGACTATGGCCCTATCACCCTTAACTTAGGATAGGCTCCAAGCCCCTCGGTGGGGACGTATAGTGAGCTGTTGATGACAATATGTTACTGATGCAGGTACTAAATAAATTATGTTTGTTAAATCAAAAGTAGACAATACAATCATAATGAAATTCGCGAATTAGGTTATATTAGGTTCATTTCAATACATTATTAACGTATTGTTGTTAATAAAGGATCGACACAATGCTTTCACTTCCTTTCTATTTTCATGAATTCTAAATGCTTGTTGATAATTTATAAATGCAATATGAACAAAGGCCCAAATTGAGGAGTCTGCATAACTTTTTGCTTAAATACGTACAGATAACGATATATACATCCAAACGTGGGTCGGGTTTGTTCTTCTTACATTATTGCCTTTCTTAAGTATATCACAAATCAGTTTGTGACAGTCTTCCTGACATATCTTATTAAATATTTCAGATAACATAATTAAACATGGCCATATATCGCGTAGCATTACCCAATTCATTAAAATTATTAAGGTCAACAACGATGCATATTTTATAAGTATCGTATTGACAGTGTCATGGGTTGACAAAAGATAATTTTGAATGCCAAAGTGAAATTGAAAGAAGCGCATGAAGAGATGAATGGGTGGGGAAAGTGTTACAGCTTGGTCGTGAGGCTATAAGTAAGGGGCAGAAGATTGCCGCGCGCAAAGCCTCCTCTCGCGGCCGCTGCTACGTACGTTAAATATATAAAGGACCTTATACATGTGTTGCTGTTTATATTGAGTGCGTTAGTGTGTGCTCTTCTTATTAGTGTACGTGCTATTTATTGGTAAGCATATTATTATTATTAAAAAGTGATATAATTTAATAACAATACTAGAAGTTAGATGTAAATGTTAATTGATTAATTAAGAAGTAAAAAAAAATGTTTTTCAGGATTTTCTATTACCTTAAAATTTTGTACATAGATTTCATAATGAGTATTTATATTATTATTAAATAATAGTTATTAGATCTTTTGAATAAATGCTAGTTTAAATAATTTCGAATCGAAGTTCATACAATTCTTAAAAATACAATATATTTTTTTATAAATTATAATATGACGGTAATAAAAATGTCAATAGTAATCTTTTACAGTAGTTTTTTTCGTGCATTAATGAGATGATGATCGACAGATGTGCAGTGGTGTTTTCTGCCTATTTGTATGACCTACTGTGGTAATGCCAGTACGCAGTAAGAAAGTGCAATGGAAATATTATGAACGATATACTAGTAGACAAGTAACAGGGGTGTCTTATCGATTTTATTCATTGCCGTAACATTTTTTTTTATCTTAAATAAAACATAATTTAGATTTTTGTTTAAAGTGCCAGTAACAGCAATAAAAAGATCATTGTTACTGTTAATTCTAGTTAAGAAACACTAGAATAATTTACTAATAATTAATATTATGCAATTAAAAAGAGTATCAGTGGGTCAGGGGTTAAGCAGTTTACTAGCAATCTACAGGTCATAGGTTCGAATACCACTAATGTATGTACCAATTTATTTTTCAATCTTCAATTTACATATCTGCGAAGAAATTCATTAGATATGTGTAAAGTCAACCAACCCGCACTGTGCCAGCATGGCTGACCCCTAATTTAGGGTAGGCTCCGAGACCCTCAGTGTGGACGTATAGTGAGCTGATGATGAATTTAAAATAATATTGCACAAATAGTAATTACTTATTTAATTATTGTTATTATTCTTCATATCGTAGCACGTGTTTGTGGCGTTTAGACGAGTATAATAATAATTATTGTCGCTACCGTTTAATACCGTATACTGTATACATTATTGTATGGTTTTAATATTGCGTTTTGATATGCTTCAAGCATTTGTCTTGACATCTGAATGGTATACAAGTTTGTAATTGCTCGAGATCGAGCATATACCTTCTTTTAGACATTATTAGTTAGAATCCTTCGGCGCGAATGGCGCGCTTTCGTTACCAAGTCAAGTGTCAGAATGAATAGTGAGGGAACTTTTTCGGGGAGTCGGATTTTCTTCTTAACACTACTTATATGTGTAGTCACTATTTTTGTTTTTTCCAAAGGTAGTAAAATTATAATATTTATTTATATTTCGGTTGTCAAATAATTTCTGATAATTTATAAATAAAGAAAAATATCAATTCAATCGATAAATTACTGCGTAAACTTTGTTCGTGTAAAATTCTGTTTGTGAAAAAAGGCGTGAGAGTTTATCAAGTTTATTTTACTTGAAGTAAATGTTGTCTTGTTGACGATATTTTATGGTAGATAAAAAGACAAAGGAAAAGAAGTACGCGTGATTGATCAATTGGATACGGGCCCTTTACACCCGGAGTTACTCGTAGCCCACCCAAGCAAGCAGATATTGTGAAAATTTGTTGTTTGAATTTTATACTTTGCATTCGATTGAGCAATAAATAAGGGGAAATAGTTATTTTAACTTATAAGTAACTTGAAATAATGACTCGTGGTCCTTATCGCTGCCGCGTCCTGTGTCTATCATCTGGATTCGATTTATTTCCATTCGTAGATATAATTATAATATAAATCTGAAGCTTCTTCTTTTTCCAGTGCCTCTTCAGTCTTGAAGGTTGGCCGCTAACTTGGAATATTTGGTTCTGTCAAGTGCAAGGCGAAACAGTTCCTCTGCTTACGTTATCTGAAGCTACGTTATTGTAATTATGTCGTAAATTTCCGTGAATGTTAAACTGTATCTTACTTAAATCATATATAGTTTAGGGAAATCAATTTTGAACACAAGGATATAATATACACATAAATCCTAGTAGAAGAGAATCACTAAATTTGTATTATTTTAAATAGCTGCGATCTTTGATTCAAATAGTTAGTCGATAACTCTGCAATATATCTTCTTGAAATTTGATACTGAGATAGAATGAACGATAGTCGCGAGTACTTTGAGACACTTTTTAGCTTGTTTTTTTTAATTCTGAGCAAATGAAGTCGTGATAAAAAGCTATTATAACATAAATCGCAGGCAATATAATTCTGATAGGAATGTACCTAAGCTGTGGAAAGATCGAGAGGGTTTTCAATATGTAGATACAAGAAGTAAATAAGCTTTGTGGTCGACAGCGGAAGGACGCGTCTCAGTTTGTGTACACATCCACTCTGTTAGCTAGTTTCACGTTTGTCCTATTTATCTTATTTAGTCATTTAATAATTTATGCCATTTTTTTAGTTTCGTCTTTTTTTAATTTAATGTTTGTCAACCATGTATTTCTAAACGACTGTACAGTTTATTTAATCTTTAGCACGGTGTTTAAGGGCACCAGAAATTTGCTTTTCACTTTTCATAAATCCTTTTTTTTATAGGGACTTTCGCTCTTTTGAACATGTCAGTCCCATAACATTCAACTTAGGAGCTAATTACAACTATAAGTATACAAGCAAGTGACATAACAATAAAAAAACAAGCAATGACAATAAAAAAACAATGATAATAAATCCTTTTTGTTTGATTTGTCATAATTAGAAAGATTTTTTGATACTGTTGCAGTTAATCGGATTAGTAACATTCACGAAATTAACTTACTTATCGTATTTTATGAAACAGAATAGTTATTTGACAATTTGTGTAATTTTGCAAACTTGTAAAATAAAATAATGTGTGTGCAGAATAAATATTAATACGTTTTAAACAAAGCTTTTTCCCACAAAACTTAATTTAAATAGTCTGTGCTTTAGCAAACTGGTTTATTTCGTTAAAGTTTTGATGTACAATGAAGATAAACAGAATAATACAAAATCTCTATGACATAGCCTTGATGTGAACATACCTTTACATCTAAACAAAATGCAAATTTGTGGAAACAATGACTATTAAAATTAGTAAAAAACAACAAAAAAATTATGAATGTGCGTGTGTTCTTTGTTTCCTCTACAATTAATTAGGAACCTAATTTTTTTTTCTTATATTCAGGCCTAATGATTACACGTTTTTCTTCTTTGAATGTTTATTAACAATTTTCTCACAAATGACGAGTATATAATTTTTAATTAATATTTTATGAGTTTGTAATATTAACTGTGCTAGTACTTATACTATAACTAGTATTGTCTTAGTTTATACTTTCAGAAATACAAATGATTAACTCTTATGATTCACAAGTATCTGAAGAAACCGTTAATTATTTTTTATTGTGTTATTAAAAAATCATGCAACTTTACATATAAGTAAGCATTTAAATTGATTATAACCAATTTAGTTAAATAAAGAAAAATAATAAATATCCAAGTGTTTGTAATGAAAAACAGTCGTATATATTGCTCAATACTGCACAGTGCGCATTTAAACCGACAGCTTTGTGTAGAGTTTTACGACTTGCGTTTCTAGCACGAGAGACCTATAAAATATACCAAAACAAAGGTAAATCTTAAACGATTATATTCGTACAATTTTACATTTGAAAAATAATATAGTGGCTTATAGAAACTAAAGTAGTCAACTTGTTATAAAATCATCGTATTATTAACTACCTTGAGCGTCGGTGGCTCAGTGGTCAAGCACTTGACTTGCAATCTGCAGGTCCTGGGTTCGAATCCCGCCATGTACCAATGTGTTTTTCGATTTCCGATTTACATATGTACACTTATCCGACGTTCTTACGGCGAAGGAAAACATGCAACCTGCACATATCTGAGAAGTAATTCAAAGATATGTGTGAAGTCAACCAACCCGCACTTGGCCAGCGTGGTTGACTATGGCCTAATCACCCTTAACTCAGGGTAGGCTCCGAGCCCCTTGGTGGGGACGTATAGTGAGCTGATAATGATGATAATTAACTAATAATGTAGTTTATGCAATATTGTTATGTAATTATAAATTATGAGGTAATGCATGCAAAAAAGCAATTAATTAAATTTTTTTTACTAAATAATTGTACAGTATCGATAACATTATCTAGAACTGTTCTGTTTTTGCGAAAATATATTGTCTTTAACAATATTAAGTGTTTTTGTTGCTTGTAATGCACATTCCATTTCAAAATAATGCTACGTGACACACGATGCGTCCGCTCGGCTCACTTCTCTTTCACTTGTCGATTTAATTTGATTTTATTGCGTTTAATGATTTGATAGCGACACAATCCCTCGACGCGATGCTCATCAAAACTCGACAAAAGTTAATTAATTTCTTATTTAATTTGTTACCTTCCATAAAAATAACATTGCAAAACGTACGTACGTGCGGTACAAAAAATAAAGATTTTATAAATTGTATATTAAACAACTAGCTGTCTAGCAACTAGATGGTAAAAAAATAGTAAGTAGCCTATGTGTTCTTACAGACTGTGCTCTACGACAAATTTCAGCGAGCATCGTTTAGTGGTTCTGGAGATACGTTCAAACAAACATCCGTCCACCCCATCTGAACATTCTTATTTATAATATTAGTAACATGATAGAAAAGCTTCCTAGGGATCTTACGATACGAGTCAATGAAACTTTTGTTTTTTTGACAATTTCAATACGAACCTAATAATATTAGCAGCCTTTGAATGGTCTTACTTGACACGCGAACACAGGACATCTTCTTAACATTCTCTCATTCTTATATAAATAAAGGTAATCTATTGGTAACCACAGTATTCTAATCTACAAATCAGACAATGGTAATCATAGAAAATCTAACAAGCATCTTTCTTAGTTGTTAACCTTGTACTATCAAAGTAATAATAATGTAATAAGATTTTCCTTATACTTTCTATTCAGTAACACGCCGTACCAGCGTTTGAAAAATCTAAATGTCTAAGGCCTGAAAGCATTG